AAGCACTCTAAGGTTAAGGGTTATTCAGTTTTAATAATGAAGGGTGGTAGATATGTGTGATTGATTTTTAAATAGGCAACATAAAGCAGCATAATGTATTAATTCTCATAAAATGGCCTGATGGCAACACAACACACACACACACACACACACATATAGTTATATGGCATTTGATTTTGAAAAGATATACTATATCTTTGTAATATGTTGCTGGCACAAACAAATTGAGTGAAAAATTTGCATGCAAGTATTGATTTCTTCTTTTCAGTATTATTTTGCTGGTGATAGCAATGATTGCCTTGTTGATATCATTATTATACCATCCTCTATCCCAAAGGTAGCCACGTTTAATCCGTTTTTAAAGAAAACTGCTGTAAACATGAGATTTGAAGTGTTTTCTTCTTCTTCTTGAATACTTCCTTTGCAGCTTTGTATTAAACAAATCTCAGCCAAGATCTGGGTAGATAGAACAGACATAATAGCTATTCAAGGTACTGTAAATAAGAAGAAGACTCCATGTGTAATGCTTAGCAAAAATTTAAAAAAAGCAAACATGATTATTTTTCCAATAATAAGAGGGTAAGTTGCCAATATATATTGTAATAGCTTTATTGTCCACAAAAACAGGAAATAAACATAAAAGAAAATTGTTACAGTTCTACAGATTCACAAACGCTGTGCACCAGTCAATCTGCTGGTGTAGTTCACTCTTAAATTGTAGAAGAAAATGATTTCATAGGGTTATCAAGTTTTTTTGGAAAGTGGAACATTTGTTTTCTATAGAAAAGGGCCCCAGCTTCTATTTTTATTTTTATTTTTTGCTTTTATTTGCAGCATAAAGGACTCTGCTTGATGAATCAATGAATAATACTTTCATATAAGGCAGTTTTGTATGTTCAATCTCAATAATTATTTTAGTCCCATTCTTTGAAATGCTCCTTATTTCTATATAAGGTGCTGGTACCTTTAGTGCCATTGATGAATTCTGGCTTCGGCTCTCTTAAGTAAACATTAAAGAAAATAGTTTAATATATACAGAAAGGCTTTATATTAAACAAGGACAATTTCCATCAGAATGACTAAGAAACAAATATCAATATCCATAAGAGCTCATGTATACCAGTTTGATGGTGTTGTGGCCAGCTTTTTCAAAGCCTTGTTAGGAAAAGCTACTTGGTACTCTTAAACATGGGTATGAGTATGAAATACACTTACTATTGAAATAAAAATTACAAACAGGTATCATGTCTTGAAAACAAGTATACAATGATACATTTTAGCCCAAATAATGTAAATTTCATCTAAACATTAGTGGGATTTCAGCCAGCTGATCTCTAAAAGGTTTTAGAGTCACAGTGGACAGTATTCACAAAAATGTGAACACATTCTGCAGATGCTATTAAAAAGTGAATTGAATTGTCGGTATCGTAATCTCCTTATAAGAATTTTTGGTGAGACTATAATTAGTCCATGATTAGACTAGTATGTACAAGCCTATGTACAGTTAGGGTCAACACAACTTAAACATAGAAAAAGGTCCCCCAAAGTGATTAGAGTAATGGGCAGCCTCTTTGTGCCCCCTCTTTGGCTTCTGATAAATATCAAGAGAAACATGGTGGAAATATATAAATTCATGAATAGCATGAAGAAAGTGATTTTTTTTCTTCTTTTTCTTTCTCAGTACTAGAACTCATCCGTTGAAACTAAATAGATTCACGACCTACAAAAGGAAATACTTTCTTTTTACATACCAAAAATATGTAGTTAAAGTACTGCCAATAGCTGGTAAGGATAGCCAATTTTGAAGTGAACCAGAAGGAACAGGGTGTTAATGTCTGCTAATATGATGCCTTTTCGCTATCTGCTGAACCATAGGCAGCTCTGCTTAAATCCTGGTTGCTAGGAATTGACCGCAAAAAGAAGCTGTTGCCTCCAGGCCAAACGCGACACGGAATGCTGGACTAGATCCATCAAGACCTAATCCAGGAAGGCAATTCTTATCTACTTTAAGTTCTAGCAGAATGTGTACAGGTGGTCCTCGACTTACAATCACTATTGGGACTGGAACTTCTGTCACTAAGCAGAGAGTCATGCCCGATTTTATGATATATTAAGTATATCACTGAAGCCATTAAGCAAATCATATGATCCTTAAGAGAATCTGTTTTCCCCATTGACTTCGCTTGTTGGAGATCACCAATGGCACCAATCACACGACTCCAGAATGCTACAACCATTGTTACTACATGCTGGTCGCCAAGGCAGGAACTCTGCAATGGTCTTAAATGTGAGGACCGGTCATGCCACCTTTTTCACTGCTGTCATGAACAATCATTAAAAGAATGGCCATAGGTCAAGGACTGCCTGTATTAGCTTTTAAGATGCTGCAAAAGATTCCTTGATATCTAAAACAATTATTCCTCTAAAACTGTTTCTTATTTGGAAATCTTACACCTTCGAGTTTGTCCATGTGTCCCACATATTGGCTAACTCTATTATTTCATCGAATAACTCGGCAATCTAAGAATTCGTAGTAATGTAACGTCAGAGCCATGGATGTCAAGGATAATTATTTCTGCTTGTTTTCCACTGTATTACTTTAGAAGCTTAGTCATTTTGGCTTCGTCCCAGGCAGGTGCTTTTACTGCAAATGCTTCTAATATGAAATGATTTGGACTGAATTGCTTGATGTGTATTTCATTGCCCTGTACTTTATGGGCAAGATTCATGCAGGCAAATGCAGATTTTCCTTCCTTTGTACTTAGAGCAGGGCCTTTTTCTTCAAATTTCAAGGAAGAAATTGGTTTTAAAAATAATGGACAGAATAATGAGTTCGACAGTTTTAGGTATTAGATTGCCACAAAGGCTTACTGCTTGCTACAAATGCTGTTACCTATTTAGGAACGTCAACAATTGTTGCTTCTGCCTCACGTTGTTTACTGCTTCTCAGGAATTGCTTACGGCTGAAGTGAAGAGCGCCAGTAGTTCAGCTGACTCAGATCTGACGGTATCTCCTAGTGTGGCCCTGCCTTTTCCCTCCCTTTCACTTAACAATGCTTGATGAACTGCAGTGGCGTTTCAGTGACTAAATGGCTTCCCTCTCTTCTCCTTCCATCACTGGTGATGCAGTTTTCTGCACAAATGTGTGAGATGGTCTGACAGCAATTCCATTTCTGTAAATACCTCTTACTAAAAGCACTGGTATCTGTTGCCCTGGAAACATCAGCTCAAGATTTCAGCTGAAAAAACTTAATTAAACAGTTCCTTAAAATGTTCCATGATGTATGTATGTTAGCTATGCTGGATGAGTGGAATTTATCATTATCATCCACCCACATTCATAAAAAGTATATTAAATCTCAAGTAGGCAATGAGTGCAGAGGGAGGGTACGTTCTCTTTATCTCCCTTGTCAGTTGCCATTTGCTGAAGGACTATCCTCACACATTTGTAACTGAGCTCTTCCAGACATTCTCCTGATTTGGACTTCTTACTCAATCGTATCACTAAACAGAACATACAACAATGCATAACTCAAATATCATATCCGAAAGATCTAGCAAAGCAGGAAATTGGCAAGGAATCTGGATGGGTAGGATTGCCTTGTTTGGTTCTCAGGCATCACAAACGCTTTGTCTGGAAGTGCTTTAATGTTTTTATTCTCTCTGTTTTTCTCCTTTAATTGCATCGGGGCAGAGTAATAAGCGTATGCTTGTTCTTATAAGCCATTTTAAAACCTGTTTTTGGCCTCTGTTAAGATTTCTTTGCATGGACAAATTGTTACTGAAATATCAAGAGAAGGTTATTTTAAATTATACATTTTAAATGTTTTATATTCATGGTATCTTAAAGGTCTCTTGCCATGAGAAATGCTTTGATTTAGATGGAGACAAATTAAAGAATAAAGAATACTTCTAACATAACTAAATATGTAAAATTTATTCTGTCCTGAAACATTATTGTTCTATGACATTTTGTGTCATTCTGTTTGATTTTTCATAGTGCATCCAATAGAAAGTGAAAATAGATGCAACTCATATTTATGGCTGCCTTTTATAGCTAGCATTAAAAGGCCATTATTATAGCACAAGGAATTTATTTGAAAAGAATCTCACATATACAAGATCCACATACTCTTTTCTCTTTCCCCTCCACTATATTAAGGCCATACATATTCTTCTTCATTTTCTCCTTCTATTGAATTAGCAAAATTATAGTATTCAGGTAATTTTAACCATAATTATTTGGACCAACGTTTTTCATAAAAGTGAAGATCCCTATGATTCTAGAAAAGCTATCAAAAAGCTATTTTCAATTCTGCAGAATATTATTATAATGGTGCACTCACTATATGTACATTTAGCGTAAACATTTTGTAGATTTTAAATCCACAGGTGTACTTCTAGAAATCGCAGTTTGATTGAAATATGGCATTATATGCTAAAGTGATTGCATATCAATTTTCTTTCCTTCCAACTCAGTAATTTTCTGCAGTGGTAAGTAAGATCCATACTGTATGTTTGATCCATCATCTTAACAAGAGACAAAGTGATTGGTGTTGGATTGTTCTATTACTGTATACTTGATCCCGCAATAGCAAATACTGTGCTATTTGTTTTATTCCACCAGACAACATAAGTGTGTGGTTTATTTGAACCTCATAAAAGACTTATGTCCAGTGTCTGGATTCACAAACCTGCTGTAGCTACACCCAGCTTTTGCATAGAAGTAGTACTGTGATTATAATTGAATAGCAATGGAAAAGTAGTGGGTTTTCAGTTGTAAATGGGATGCTACTGTTGATGTAGCTGCAATTGTTGATTGATGTAGTTAATATAGTTAAAAGAGGAGAAAGAAATTCAGTGTTTTACAATAGTAAAATGATTTGTTTTTCAGGCAAAATATTGATTGCTTTCCTTAAAAGGTATGGGAGTGGTCTTGTTCTAAATTGCTGGTGCATACAGAAGAAAAGATCATGAGGGTGTTTTGCTTTGTTTTGTAGGAACATTGTGCTGCCGATGTGGAGCCCATTGCCTTGGAAGGGGCCAAGCAATTTGGCCTCTCAAGAAACAGCCATATTGCAGTTGCATTTGATGACACGAAAGTTAAGAACAAGTAAGTTAGTAGCTTCCCACCATAGATTTGAGGGAGCTACTTTTTTAGCCTTTCTGGAAGGCCATGAAGACCTGGCACTTCCCAGGGGCCTCAGGCTAAGATTTAGTCAGAAGGCTAACAGTTTAATAATTAGTCTGGCACCTGGTGCGAAGGGGTTGTTCTGTTTTCATTCTTCTTTCTAGTAGTTGCAATGAACCATCTAGAATCACTATGTGAAATAGGCAGCCTTATAAGTTTCTTTAAATAGTAAGATCATTCTGAAATAAAGTTGAAAAGAAATTATTTCTGGTAGTAACCTTTGCTAAATTGTAGATGTTTTAAAACAAGATGGGTGAGCCTGTTTTCTTTTTAGCCTTCATAAAATGAACTCAGTTAAACTATTATAAAGGATTTAATTTTAGAGCTAAAAGTGTCACTTTCCAAATTTAGGATGGGTCTTTAAGCATAAATCCCTCCCCCCCCAAAAAAAGGGGGGGGAAAGGAAGGGAAGGGACAAATTGATGGGTATTATTTTCCATGTGAAGAGGGTTCATTTTTTTCCAATCCAACAAAATGTTGGAAATAAATTATATAAGAGGGTTGAGATTCTGTTTTTCAGCAGAATAACTTTTCCAATAACAGAACTTAGGGAGATTAAATTTGGCATGGTGGGAGAAAAGGAAGGAAAGAAGGAAAGAAGGAAGGAAGGAAGGAAGGAAGGATATTAGATAGATTCCATGTACTCTATTGCCCACTTTATATATTTATTCTTATTTTATAATCCGCATCATCTTGCGCATTAACAGGGTTTGGGGTTTGGGTTTGGTTTCTCTAGTGGGTTTTTTTTTAGCTGATAATGATAGGATTTGCCAGAATTATTTCATATGGATGTACTCAAGACTCATGCATATTCTTTCAGTAATTTTAAAGCTAAGTTCTGACAGCTAATTCTTGAGAAGAACTGTGATCTGTGTATTGCAGAACAAATATTCTTATTTTTCAACCCCCAAAAGAAGATACTTCCAAATCTTAAATCACATCCGTTACCAAATCCATGAATATTACATCTATATAACTTGGTAAGCTTAGAAACGTAATGTGGACATCCTGGTTCTATTTCACATAGAAACAAACTTGCTGCTGTGAAAAAAAAAGATAAAAGAGTAATGCTTTTTGAATGTCCTCCATTTCTGTTTCCTTCCCTTTTCCAAATGTGCAGACTCACAATTGAACTTGAAATCAGAACGAGGGCTGAAAACGGGCTACTTTTCTACATGGCTCGGATCAATCATGCTGATTTTGCCACTATCCAGATAAAAAATGGTTTTCCGTATTTCAGTTATGACCTTGGGCATGGGAACACAAGCACTATGATTTCCAACAAAATTAATGATGGCCAGTGGCACAAGGTATTATATGATTTAACAATGCATGAATAGATAAAGACTATATTCATCTACAGAATATCACACACACACACATTGTAGTGAATTGTAGAAGAAACGAATGGAGCAGCAGTGTGCCATGTTCTTAATTGCAAGGGCTTTGGAAATGGTCTGTTCCTTTATAACCTGCTTTAGAGGTGGCTTAATCCGATTCAGGATTCAAGACTAAATTAGGATGCAGAGTTTTATTCCCAAACAGAGTTTCCTCCAAGCTACAGGTTGATGCACTGTAAGAGCCTGAAAGCAGCCCTTTTATGTATAGGTTGTCCTTGACTTATGACTGTAATGAAACCTACCCATATGGTCATAAGTTGTGATGGTTGTAAAGTGGGTTATCACTTAATGAGTTCTGGTTTCCATTTATTATCTGCAGATACATGAAACCTCAGATAACAAATCCATAGATACTGAGGTCAACCTATAGATATTCAGTCAGAAAAAATGTCCCTTGTTTATTTCCAACATTTATGTTGGCTAGGAAATGTAGGAAATGTGGTCCTATCACATGCGAGGGGCATTAGTTTATGGAAGGCTGTTGTAATTTGCAATGTCAGTCCTATTTTGGGAATACGTTTCAGGGACTGTTGTATATTTTAATAATAAATGTCTAATCTGAGACCAGATTGAAGCTATTTATCCGTTTAAGTGACATAATAGTAAAATTAACATTACATTGTGTGCCCAAACATGCTTGTTAACTCAGTACTAAGTTTCTCCATCTTCAGGTGGACATTCTCCCAAATAAGAGCACAAAATTCTTCAACTTCAGTACCACTTACAAAGAGTTTGCTTGTAGGAGTTGTAGCATAACTATTACTAATAATAATGAGTTGCCCTTCTGTCTTTTTCCAGATAAAAATATTCCGAAGCAAACAAGAAGGGGTCCTGTCAGTTGACGGAGCTACAAATAGAACCACTAGCCCAAAGAAAGCTGATATTTTGGATGTTGTGGGGATGCTATATGTTGGGGGATTGCCAATTAACTATACAACAAGAAGAATTGGTCCGGTAAGTAAAGAATGACTCTTTTCACATTTTTAAAGCACTGACAAAAGAGAGTTATTTATTGTGCACAAGGGTAAAAGCAAATGGCATTCATTGTCTTTCAAAGAACATTGGTCTTGTTCCATGCAAATAATCTGCATTTGCCTTTCTTTTGACTGATCTGGTTCTTTTCCCTACTAGCAATACCCTTTTCATGGGAAACAATCTTATCATTCAGGGAGACTAAGTGTGTCTATCTTTGTAGGGGTTAATCTAAATGTCATTGTGTTGAGTCACTGAGAAGCAGATCCTATGGTGGATTTGTTTATTACCAGTGGAGCTGGTCTTCAAACAGAAAAAAAGAACAGAATAACAGAATAACAGAATTGGAAGGGACCTTGGAGGTCTTCTAGTCCAACCCTCTGCTCAAACAGAAGACCCTATACCATTTCAGACAAATAGTTGTCCAATCTGTTCTTTAAAATTTCCAGTGATGGAACATGCACAACTTCTGAAGGCAAGCTGTTCCACTGATTAATTGTTCTAACTATCAGGATTTTTTTCCTTATTTCTAGATTGGTTTTCTCCCTTTCTAGGTTCTCTCCAACCTAGATATAATGCAATATAATTATTGCAGCAATCCTGAAAATTGTGGGACAAATAGTATTGTAGATCTCAACCAGTGTTCATAAAAGTGTATTAACAATAATGTACTATGCATTCCTATCTGGAAGCAAGCTCAATGGGGCTTAATTCCAGGTAAGTGTGTATGGCAACCTAAGGTTGATGTTTTGGATACAGAAGATTCCTGTATCCCTACATTTTAGTCTTGCTTTTATAAAATCACTATTCTTAGATTTAATAACAGTGTTGGGCTTTATTCAGCCCTGAAACACACTTTGGGCTACTCACTATCACCCAGCTCAGTCTACTTCATAACTTGATAGGATAACATTGAGGGTGGGGAAAAGATCTGTATAAACCATCTAGAGCAGCGGTTCACAACCTATGGGTCGCGACCCCATTTGGGGTCGATCGACCATTTCACGGGGGTCGCCAAGCAAGGCTGTCCGCCATTTTTTCCCCTTTTCCGATGGGTGCCTTACCTCCCTTGAGCTGGGCCAGCTGGTGGTCGGCCTGCTCCGTCTCTGCCGCTTGCCAGCTACGCCTCGGCCGGCGCAGGGGGCGGAACCACGCATGCATGGCGCTCCCGGTTGGGTAGTCTTCGACTTACGATTGGTTTAGTCCTCGACTTACAACCGGTTTAGTCCTCGACTTACGACCGGTTGGGGGTCGCGGCATTAAAAAGGTTGAGAACCACTGATCTAGAGGTCCTTCAACATAGGCAAGATGTGGCTACAATAAATAGACATCCTAAGACTCTTTCAAAGGAATCAGCTGAGAATTATTAGCCATAACTTTTAATTGAATCTTAGATACCTGCTACCAGGTGTTGCACATTAATTGTTGCCTATACATTTTAGTTAAACATTATTCTTGTATCATTCATGTTTCTAATGTTCACCAAACTTTTGACTGCAAATTTTTATTATTCTCTTAAAAAATATTTTTGCATGAATAAGGATGTAACTACTGCATACAATATAAATCAGATAAAACTTTATATGTATAGTGAACCAAAGCAATAGGTCACCCACTTTAACACTAACACTACACTGAATTCCTACTTTAACTTACTGCTATTCCAAAGCAGCAGGAACATTTGTAGGAGAAATTGCTTAGTAACAAATTGTTCTGCTGGAGGAAGCATGACTGAACAAGAGGAAAGAGTTTATTTTATAGAAAACAGTAAAAAATATAGAAGAGTTGGGGGACAAAAAAAATGTTAACAGAGAAAGGCAAATGGCAAATCCAAGTGAACACTAGGCAGAACTTTTACTAAGGATTACCTTATAGCGAGAATAGTGGCAAAAGGTTATTTTTTAGCACTTATCTATAGATTGCTGGCTGATGGCCCTGTTCAAAGGGACCTGGTCCTTCTGGAAGGATAATTACAAGAAACATTCAAGGTACTTAATGGATAAAGTCCTTCAAATCTTCTCTAAATTGAATTCCAGCTATGTGAATGTGGTAGAGTTGATCAAAACTTGGTTTTGTTAAGTTACGTGGGAAGAACTTAGCCTATGTTTTCTAAGGAAGTGGCAGGATACCTGTGGCTCTAAGTATAATCACTTGTATATTAGATCCATGACCCACTGTTTGGATAAGGTCTGCTGAGTGATGATATACTAAATGGTTGGATTCAAGCATGCATCCTTTAGTAAGACTGTGACTCATCCTATGTGTAATGAGGTGGTTATCCATCCCATCAATAAACCATCACTGAATCTAACAGTATTGAACCATTTTCATCTGTATCCAACCTTCCCTTTTGGGAGGAGTGTGGCTGAGAAGTTAATGAGGCATTTTACAGTCAGGCTTCAGGCCTGGGTGTATAGTGAGTACTGAGATGGCATAGGTCATGTTGTAAACAATTTCTGACAAGATCAAGTTGGTGATGAGAGATCCATCCTGGTTCTCCTTAATCAATCAGCAGCCTTTCAGAGTGGTGGAAAGCATGGCCTTGCTTCTCCCCCAGTTCCAATCCATGTTGGCAAGTTAGAAAAGGTCTCGCCTTAAACCTCTGCTTTGTGGAGTTTCACAAGGAGAAATGTTTCCATATTCATATTGTACATGAAGCTACTGGTTATATCATCTGTTGGCAGGAAGTTAGGGATATCATCAGGGTCTCCCTATTATACATCCCTATTATACATCCCCCTCCTCTTGCTGAACAAGTGATGTTGTCAAGGTCTGAAAGCTGTGGATGTCTGGAGAGGGCAAAAAGGTGCAGACTCAATTCTTTTTTTTTTATTATTAAAAGTTTTATAACATTTACAAAATAAACCCCCTTCCCACCCCCCAAAACCCCCCCACCCCCACCCCCCACTTCCCAGAGCTGTTCACAGGGTTACAAATATATTAATCATAATCTAAATAACATTATCCAACTAATTATGTAACCAAATCTATAACACACTTTAACTCCCTTTTAAAATAAACTTAGATAATTTGAAATTAAACACAATAATAAACAAATAATCAACTTAATTATTAAACAAAATTACTACTCAAAATAATAATATCAATATAATAAAATATAATAAAAATATAAAAAACATAATAAAATATTCACAATAACAATACTGTAAAATTTACTCAAACACCAAATGGAACTTTTCAGTCCCATATTTATTCTGAATATAATCTATCCATCTTCTCCAAACCGAAATATATCTTTCCTGTGTTTGATCCTTTAAATAAGCAGAAATCTTAGCCATTTCTGCTAAATTTGCCACTTTAAGAGACCATTCTTCTANAATATTTTGAATATTCCACCAAACCTTGATCCAAAATGCTTTTATTTCCCTACACGTCCACCAAATATGAAAATAAGTTGCATCTAAACTTCCACATCTCCAACATTTGGGCTGTAAATTAGAATACATGCATGACAATTTTTGAGGATCCAAATGCCACCTATAAAACATCTTGTAAAAATTTTCTCTTAAATTTTGGCCTTGAGTAAATTTTACATTTTTAACCCAAATTGTCTCCCATGTATCCAATGAAATCGATTCTTGAATATTTTGAGCCCATTTTATCATACAGTCTTTAACTAGTTCTGTTTCAGAATCCAATTCAATCAAAGCATTATAAATTCTCTTTATATGTGCTTGGGTTGGATCTTTAATCTGTTTAATCAAATTCAATCCTTAAAAGACTGGGGTTCAGGACAGATCTGGGAACTTTCATTATGGTTTCTGGAGAGGAAACTGGTTTCAATTTGGAGAGATTGCTAGACTATTCTATTCTGTTCAAACAGTGAGTGGCAGCCATGGCTATGAGGGGTTTAGGACAACTCGCCACAGCCAACTCACTGTGGCCAACTCACCACAGCCAACTTTCCATGGGACAATGCGCCACAGCCAACTCACTGCAAGATAACTTGCCGTGGGACAAAAGTTACATAATATCGAAGAACTGTGAAACAGAATCATTAAAGAAAGGTTGCAAAAGGAAGGACAAAATGAAATGCGAACGACAAAAACTAAAATAAATTTTTAATTATTTTAAATAATTAAATAAAATTGTTAAACCGTCCTGCAGTGAGTTGTCCCACCGCAAATTGGCTGCTGTGAGTTGTCCTGTGGCAAGTTGTCCATGGCGAATTGGCAGTGGTGAATTAGCCATAGCAAGTTGCCCCTTTCCAGGCTATGAGGGCCCTTACATCTCACGTGCCAATTGTTCCCCTTTCTGGATTGGAAGGCCTTCCTCATAACCACTCGTATCTTTGCACTTTTTGGGATTGTTACAGGGCATTCTGCCTGGGGCTGATCTTTAAGATTACTTGGAAGCTACAGCTGGTCTACAATGCAGTGGAATGGGTAGTTATGAGCATAACTTCTTTGCATGCCTGCGCAGCACCACTACTTTGTGAGCTGCTTTGGCTGTCCGTCAACTTCCAAGTACAGTAGAAGGTGTTGGCTGTCACTTACAAACCCCTTAATATGTATTAGTAAGTTAAATGTTGGAACCCAGACAATATGTTGCTGATAAAATATTAAGCACTTGTGATTATAAAAATTAATAAAAATATGTATAAAAACCCCTTCATAGAACAAAGCCAGTTTATTCATAACACCAATAATTTCTGCTCACCTGACAAGATTAAACATGCCCTGGATCTCCTATATTAAACAGTGCCAACTAATGAGAATGGGACCCAGGAAGCGTCCTTTCTCTGTTGCAGTACCTACATTATGGAACAGAATTCATCCCCTCTGCCGGATAATCCAAGATCTGAGTAGCCCTGACCTTGCTGTTCTTTTCCCTTAGTTCTTAATTAATTAATTAATTAATTAATTAATTAATTAATTAATCGACTAATCAGTGTTTATTGTTATTAACAGAAGGCTTAGCTATTCGTTGTTCAGAGTTTTCTTGTCACAAGTCATTGTAGTGATTCTGATAACTAAACTTGCCTCCTCTTAGTTAATGCTATATGAACTGCTTGTCCAGAGAGAAAAAAACAACATATGGGGGAAAGCCAAATAAATTACCACTTAGAGCAGGGGTGTCAAACTGCTAGCCCATGGGCCAGACGCGTCATCCGGAAGCCGTGCCCACCCCATTGCCGGCAATGGCAAAACCGTCCCGATACGTTGACGTGACGTCGCAAGTCTGACTTAGAGCCTTAGTGCAAACTCTATGAATAGCATAGCTTATAGCTTTCCTTTATGAAATAATGTTTGCTTTAGAGTCAGTGACTCTAATATACAGTATCCCAGCCTCCCCACTACCTATCTTCTATTGAGGAACAGAAGAAGAAGAAGAAGAAGAAGAAGAAGAAGAAGAAGAAGAAGAAGAAGAAGAAGAAGAAGAAGAAGAAGAAGAAGAAGAAGAAGAAGAAGAAGAAGAAGAAGAAGAAGAAGAAGAAGAAGAAGAGGAGGAGGAGGAGGAGGAGGAGGAGGAGGAGGAGGAGGAGGAGATGATTTTATTTGTTCTTGGCCTTGGGTTAATTTTACAAATTGTCACTGTAATCTAAACTGAGACCACAGTTAATAGGATGGGAAGTAAAGAACCTTACCTGGACTCTGCCATAGTCCTAAACTAGATTACCATGTCAGTTTTTATCAGATATATTTTTACTTTACTATTAATTGATAAGTACAAAATTTGCTCACGGTATCCTTAGCATTTTGTTTAAAACTTATAAAACTAAGGATTCAATTTCCTTTGTTTATCTTTTTATATTATATATTCTTAGTCTTAAAAATAATATCCTTGAAAAACAAAACTACAGTTTGGTAAGAAAAGCATTTTAGAGAAGTATGGCCTTGTTGGAGTTATAAGTGGGAAAAAAACAAGTGCAAATATTAACAGCCAGCAAGATTTGTCTTTGTAGAAAATGGTGATGTTGCATCAATTTTTAGTATAAACGTAATCTGATCTAATAGAAGTACAAATGCTAACAACAAGATAACTTTTGTGAAGATGAAAATATATTCAACCAAAGAAAAGAACCATTCCGAAACAATCTAACATTTTATATTTCCAATATAATTTGACAAGCATTCTACCATTTGGGGTATTATCAGGTATTATTTTTGCTACATCTTTTAAAAAGGCAACTCGGTATCGGAAAACAACTGTATCAGAAATACGTTTTATAGAATAGTCGTGTAACTAGGCCCATTCCTTTCATAAAGTTAAAAACGAGAGATAAAAAAAGTTGATGTTGTAAGAATAAAGTATTTTAGAAAGGCGACTAACTTTCTTAAGGATTTTTTATACCCTGACTCAGGTTGTCTATAGCATTGATGGATGTATACGAAACTTTCGAATGTCAGAAGCTCCCATTGATCTCAATAACCCAACCTCCATCTACAATGTTGGAAAATGCTTTGTCAATCCACAGGAAGGAACCTACTTTGCAGGGACAGGGTTCGCCAAAACAGGTAAGACCATCTCAAAATCTGCTCTTAAATTGTTGTGCCAATGAACCCTTGAGAATCCTTGGTACTCTCTGAGCTTGGTTTCTTGCAGACATTTCTAGGTAACAAACTAGGTAACATGATGATGTTACTTAGTTTAGGTCAGGGGTAGTCAACCTTGGCTCTTTTATGACTCGTGGACTTCAACTCCCAGAATTCCTGAGCCATGCTGGCTCAGGAATTCTGGGAGTTGAAGTCCACGAGTCATAAAAGAGCCAAGGTTGACTACCCCTGGTTTAGGTAGTGAAAAGTCTGTAAGAAAACAACCAAAGCTTAGAGAGCACCAAGAACCCCTCATTTCAACCCTGAGTTACAAATATTCTCCTTTATTGCTACATGAACCTTTTAAAATCCTGGTTAGGCCTTTCTATTTAGACAGTTGCCAAGGGAGGAATGATAACAGAGAATAACAACTGAAAAATGTAGAACAGAGACAGAAGAACTGTTTCATCTTCTGAGACTTGTTGAATTTGAAATTCTTCAATGACAAGAATGTTGCCCTCGAGGCATAATAACGTATTACAGTGATGGTAATAAGGATCATGTTTAATATCTATACAAGATTGTTGCAGGTCTGATTTTTAATAAGATTCAGAATAAATTAGTTACAATTCTTGATACTACAGGATGCTATTTGAAATATAACTCTGTATGTACAGGTAGCAATAGATACATATCAGCCAATCTGGTTAAGAAATGTGATTTTTATGCACAGTATCAAAAGTTGAAGAAATGTATCATATGCTGCACTATTGTTTACCAAAGCCATTTGGTGTATAATGTAACTGTGAAATACTAACGTTGTCCTTAAACGCAATGGTGCCTGCATCTCTGTACAGTATAGAAAAATTACCCTTGCATTATTCTTAGACTGTTTTTCCTTCCTTATTCCTTAGTTGGAGCATATAAAGTGGGATTAGACTTACAGGTGGAATTTGAATTTCGTACAACACGGACAAATGGTATTCTATTGGGAATCAGCAGTCAGAAAATGGATGGCCTTGGCATTGAATTGGTAGATGAAAATGTGAGTATGGAATTAGAAATTAATGTAATTAAATGTTTCTCAGCAGCCCTAAGGAGATTCTATCAAAGGATATCAAGCCATGTTACTCATCCATTGTTCCAGAATCAGTATATTGAGCACTGTTTTCTTTTTAAGCCTGAAAAGGATTCTCCCTGTAGCCAGTGATCTTTGCAATACAGTTGAAGTCAGATTACAGTCTAACAAACTATATTTTACAAATTTAAATTTGCGGGGCAGATTCCATAACATTTTCACAGTTAAAGTATTATTATGAACCTAATCTGCATTTGTTAGAACAGTCTTGCAAATCCCTTCTAATTAAACTTCTGCTTCCCTTTCCAAAAATCTCATTTTGATTCTGCTAAATTATTTCTAAAATAAATGCTGTTTGAATACAAATAGCCAGCTAGTACAAACATTGAAATAATCAAGCCTATTGCTGTAGAACTGTTGTGAGCCTATTATCCGTTTTAGATTTTGGCAGCAATCAATTGACAAACAGTATGATCCATAATTTGTGCTTTCTTGCCAGAACTGGTTTTCAGTTATAAATTAATTTCAAGTGGATCCTTGAATTCAGAAAATTCATTCATTTACGGTGGTTAAGAATTTAATCGCAGCTTTTGCTGAAAAGGATAATTAAGTCTCAGTGCGTTGAATGGGAAACCCAGGCCTATACATTGTATCACAGTCTCTTCCAAGTTATGTGGATAAGTTGTTTGACTAAATTGCTTGTTTGTTTGATTGTTCGTGTAATTTCTCACATAGGTGATGTTCCATGTCGATAATGGTGCTGGTCGGTTTTCGGCCATTTATGAACCTGCTATAACGGGGAGTTTGTGTGATGGACAGTGGCACAGAGTTGTGGCACACAAGATAAAGCATCGTTTAATGCTGACCGTGGACGATCAGCATGTGGAAGGGATCAGTCCTAATGCAGCTTCCACTTCAGCAGAGACAAATGATCCTGTCTTTGTTGGAGGATATCCAGGTGAGTATATAAACCAGGCCAATGCTGCAGTTACTATTCTTCATTATTATTTAGTTTATTACTTTTATTATAGCCACCAAACCTCAATGGAATCCCTTTATGAAATTTTATTAAGCGTTTCATTAAATAAAATGTTTGAAACCAAGAAATTATACAAATGCATGTGATCTGGATTGAGCCTGGTGGTGTTCAATAAACAACAGCAACTGCAGCACATGTTAAAAATGTAGTGTTTGCAAGCATCGTGGGGGGGGGAACCCTTTTATTTTTAAGCATTTCTGTTCCAAGTTCAACTTTTGAACTGCATTTCGCATCTAAGGTTCCGATTTATTTGACTGGTTATTTTGCTTGCTCATTTTACGTTTCATCTTTTTGCTCAGATTGAACAGAAAAGTTATTACATATCATTATCACCTCGATTAGTGTGCCCTGAATGGGACTAAAATCATAATATCTTGTGATAAGTGGTGATTGCCCCAGGGTATAGCAAAAACTAGTAAAAAGCTGAATAACGTGTGCCTATGCACCAGGGATAAATTCCTTGTGTGTCCAATTACATTTGGCCAATAGAGTATATTCTATTCTATTCTATTCTATTCTATTCTATTCTATTCTATTCCTTTTTTCTATCCTATTATTTATTTTATTCTTTTTTCTATTCTATTCTGTTCTGATTTTCTAGGGATAAGGTACAACCTGAAAGTATGGTTTTTATGTTATTCAGTGTTTAAAAATAGTTTCAAAAAATTGCAGTACTGCTAAAATTTATTATTCTATGACAATTGTCTCTGTATCATATATCTGCAAACAACAACTATGCATATGAGTTCACATATATACGCTATGTAAGAAAGACATTTGGTACCAGTTTATACAGTTATCTACTTGCAGAAAAAGATTTCTTAAAAAGAAAACCCTAAAGATCTTAAAGATCTTCCTTTCTTTTCTTTATCTCTCCCCTCCCAGATGGATTGAAGCAGTTTGGCCTGACCACTAACATTCGATTCAAAGGCTGCATCAGGTCTCTCAAACTCATCAAAGGGACAGCTAAACCACTGGAGATTAACTTCAGCAAGGCCTTGGAAATAAAGGGAGTGCAACCTCTGTCCTGCCCAGGGAATTAAAGAGAAAAATCATCAAATTGCAATAGGAATCTGAGCAGTAATGCTAACAAAAAAGATTATTTTACAAATATGCCTGTGATATATCTGTGATATATTCCAATGCTGCTGTTTCGGGGTGTACTTCTAAAAGCAAGGGGGGAAAAATCTCTTAAAATGAATAAAGCATCAAGTTACGCATGTGTGATGTGTCCATTTTTTCCTTACTTTGAAGCAAAATGAAGTATTATAGAATGAAATTGTACTGTACCAATTTGCATTGGTAGCTGTGTGTAATTTTGAGCCTCAGCTTTTAGCCTTACTTGGTTTTAGTGGGACTCAACTGCCTTATGCAGGATTTTCTGAAAATTTCCCCGGGACGGTCTTTCTTTGCAGATTTGGATACCACTGCCAGATTTGCTTTGTTTTGGGTGGCCGTGGCCAATTGGGTGGGCATGGCTGCGGTGGTAACGGCAGACTGGGTGGGACTAAAAAGTTCAATCAATCAATTCCAACTTTGCAAGATCTTTTTTTTTTCCGCGAGAAGTTGAAATTGATTGATTTATTGAACTTTTTTTTTTTTGCACACAGCGGTGGAGGCCTAAGCGAAAAGGTTTTATAAAACCAAGCTGAAGGCCTAGGACTGGAGTGATGGTGCACGTGCCCACAGAGAAGGCTCTGAGTGCCACCTCTGGCACCCGTGCCATAGGTTCGCCACCACTGCTATAGTGCAGGGGTAGGCAACCTTGGCTCTTTTATGACTCATGGACTTCAATGCTGGCTCAGGAATTCTGGGAGTTGAAGTCCACGAGTCATAAAAGAGCCAAGATTGCCTACCCCTGCTATAGTGTCTTTGCTCTAGGGTGAAACATAGTGAAAGCAATTAAGTCATCACTGATATTTTATGGGCTTCTATTGTGATACATAAGAGTGGACATACAATCCACATATAATATAGTGGGGGTTTTTTGTAGGAAGGACTAAGGTATTTCAATTAAGGGGAAGAGCAGTGACAACCCCAAAAGAGTAGATGTACTTACCAAAAAAAGACATTTTATGAGCACATTATGTATTGTGTTCATACACAATAAATATTCATGCTGTATTTGTTCCTGGAGTGCCTGGAGCTTTGTACAGTGATCCTCAACTTACAACAGTTCATTTAGTAACCATTCAGAGCACTGAAAAAAGTGACTTAGGACTGTTTTTCACACGACCATTGTAGCATCCCCATGGTCACATGATCAAAATTCAGATGCTTGGCAACTGACTCAGATTTATGAGGTTGCAGTGTTCCAGGGTCATGTGATCCCCTTTTGTGACCTTCTGACAAGCAAAGTCAATGGGCAAGCCAGATTCACTTAACAACCCTGTTACTAACAACTGTGGTGATTCACTTAACAACTGTGGCAAGGAAGGTTGTAAAATGGGGCAAAATTCCCTTTAAAAATATCTCGCTTAGCAACATAAATTTTGGGATCGATTATGGTCATAAGTCGAGGACTGCCTCTAATGGAGACTTGTGTGTAAGTTCACATTTCAGGTACTCTGTTGGAGAATGTGGGATACTGAGGCACTTTTAATTCTTCTACTCCTATTTTAGCATCATGTCTGAAACTCTTCTCCCTTCAAACTGGAGATACCTAAATGTCTCCTTTGAACATTGATTTTATTACAGATTTGTAATAAAATTTGGCAGCATACAAGAGTTGCATAAAACCATAATAAAACATCTCCATCCTTAAAGAAAGATTAAAGGCAAAGAGCTCAAGTGGTTGATTTGAACCGCTGTTTCCAATCAACAGGCAATGAGCTCTTTAGCATTTCAAATCTATATTATTAAAGCTTCTGAATGTTAATGCCCATGCACTTTGCTAGTATTTTCTATACATTTGTATAATATATAATTTTCCATAATATGAAGGGCTCCATTTTCTGGGAGAAATATCTGCCTAATAAAATGCTTAATATAAATATCAAATGCACATTGGACTAAATACCTAATATAATGTTTCAACAGCAACAGAATGTTGTGTGTTTCTTTTTTAAAAAAAATATTTAAAATGTGGCAGTATCAGACTTTTCCCCCAGTGGACTACTATATGATATTGGAGAAAACAGAATAATAGTAACCGTGCATATTATACAATGTGCATCTTATACAATGCTCTATACATCTTTATTTTAAATGAATAGTTTTGCTCTTTTTTGAAACAATTTGCAACAAGACGCTTTTTGAAGTTTGGAGATCAATATGAAAACAATAAAAATGCAGGTCAATAATTGGTTAGAAATCTATAGCTTATCGTTGAGACTGAAAAAAGCTGCCCAGAAATAAACTGAATGTTTCAAATGGCTTGTCTCACTTAAAGGCATCTCTGGGAAGTCTCAGGTAGTATAACTGGCTCAGCAAGGTCAATTCTTAGCCATGAAAGTCGGCCAATCACTCTGTCTCAGCCTGGCCTTTGACCCTCCCATTCATTTTTTCAGTTGAATATTGATGGATTCTTAAAATCTCATAAAGAATTATTGTAGTTACACCATTCACTGATGATAGGCAGCTTTTTTCAAACAACTATTTTTCTGTTTTTGCTGTCAGATTTGCACTCATCATTTATACACATTTCTGTTATATTGCACAAATTACAAGTATCAACCAGCGTCCATTAAAATTCGATGGCTATAACGAATTTGAATTACAATAAACAACATACCCAATCCAAGTGAGCAGAATAATGTGCCACAACACCTTCACTCTGGGCCATAAGAAGCAGACATGTTGAAATTCAGATTTTACCATTGGAATTTTGCTCTGACAGAGTGCAGTTAACTAGATGGTCAAAAATTCATAGCCATTATGGTGCTTCATGGAACTTCAATTTTAATAATGACCTCTCTCTCTCTCTCTCTCTCTCTCTCTCTCTTACACACACACACACACACACACACACACACACCTTCAATATTATGAAGTGTTATTATTTCATCTGGAAAGAGATGTCCTCTTCATATTCACTGAGAAAACCAGAGTCTGTTGTGCTGCCCTGTTTATCAGCCCCATAAAGCCAAAAGAGAACCAGATGGCATCTTGCTAGGAGCTGCAGGACCTTCACCTAATCCCAACTTGGTCTTATTTATTTCAAGTAATGTGAGAAAGCACTAGGCCTGACTATCAACAGTGCATCCATGCCAGCGTGTGGCAGCCTTTGGGGTTCTTTTGAGTTCTAGAAATTGGGTACATTTATCACAGCAAGACTTAGACAACAGTAAGATCACAGTATTAATAGAACGAAATGTTCTTTCCTTTCTCAGTCATCTTATGTTTTTCACTGTCCTTCTTTGCTCTTTCCCCTGCCACGTTCCCATTTAGCAAGTGATCTAGTTTTTCAAATTATCATATCCTGTTTGGTTATAAATTGAAAGAAAGCTGAAGAGCCAAATTTATAGATTCATCCTTTTCTTCAACAAGATATGGGTAACTTGGCAAGCAAGTGACTTACATAGTGCTTTGGTAAAGTTTCCCCACAATATCCTACAAGGCAGGAAATTATTATTCACAGTGAAGGTTATCAGTTATTGCATTAATTATTTTCTTTTAAAAATGTATTTGACATATCTTTGAGGAATGTAGGAAAATAGATGGATAAAGGAAATATAAGATTTAGAACAACATTTTAATTTCAGATGTCCTTCTTTCCATCTTCCAATTTTCATTGAAGGTTATAAATAAGTCCTGAATGAAAATTTCACCCAAATAGGTTTGGTTTTTTTCAGATTGCAAGACTTCATCCTTTTCATATCCTATAGTTACCTTGTTATCCCTTCAGTAGCCCTACCAGGAAAGGGCCATCCAATCTGCCCCAAAGAGCACATGTAAAGCTGTAGGAGAAATGGAGACAGTTCCATCAGTAGAAACCCAGTAGAGTTCACTCAATGACTTTTCTTCATATTTAAGGTACTTTACCTCATACAGATTGAGTTCTAATTCAGCAAGCTGCCCAACTGCACAAGTACCATAACTGCTTTTGTGCAACAGAGCCATTATCTGCAAATCTCAGCGCTGCCTGGCAGTGCAGTACATGGCTACAAACTCTCGAAGTACTTATCCAACTCACAATCCGTTGCTGGCTAAAGCTCAAATGAGGATAGCACAGTAGGATAAAGTTATTTCACCAAACAGAGTACCCAAATCTCATTTTCTACTCTAATGGAATGGAAATAGAACAGATTGTTACATTTAAATAGCCTTGTTAGTACTTAGGTTAAGTCAGCCGTAGCCAGTTTTAAAGATCTGTGCCACCCTGTCACTTCCTGCTTATGTGGGAAGTGATAAAAACTCTGAAACACTTGTACCAGCACATGCTTTATGACAGTCCTGCTCACTAGCTGGCTTATTGCTTGCAGAGGATCATTGATTTGTCATGCTGGAACAATCACTTTAAAACAAATACCTCTTCAGTTGACAAGAAAATATTAAAGTGGCTTTAATAAGTGGGCACTGTAAAGCAGATGGAAATCCACTCTTGTAATTTTAAAAAAGTTGTTTTAACTGAACAGCTTAATTATATATTTTCATTAAAAAAAAACTATTTTAACTGTTAAAGAGCCTAGATTCAAAAGACATTTGACCTTCACGTATTTTCTTAATTAGATCATATGTGATTTAATATCCTCCATGGTTCGGTATTCAATTGTTGATGATAAACAAGACCTGATCCTTCAAATCAATAAACCAAGATCTATCTATTTGTCAAAGAACATTTCAAAGCATGACTTCTAGATTAGGGGTCCCCAGCCCCCAGTCTGTGGACTGGTACCGGGCCACGGCATGCCAGCACAAACGAGCAAAGCCCCATCCACAGGATGCAGGCAGCACACAAAATCACACCCCCTGCAGTCTGTGAAAAAACCTCTCTCCACATAACTGGTCCCTGGTGCCCAAAAGGTTGGGGACCTCTAGTCTAGAGAGATGGATAATTTATATATATATATAAATTGGTGCAAGACCTAAGCCCTATCAAGCAGTTTTATCTTCTCTTAGGTAGAGAGCATTCAAGTAAAATATCAGCATTATAGAGTTGCAGAAACAATTATTGGACATCTGATTCTTCTACCTGCTTTGGTACAAAATATCCCCATCGGGAAATTGTCCAACTTCTGAAGACCTATAATAAGAGACCATAAGAGAGCATCTACTACCACTTCAAGTTAATTATTCCAAAGCTAATATTTTTTCCTAATATTCAGGTGAGACTACTTAGCTATAACTTAAGTCCATTCAGTG